CAGCCAGCTATCCGATGTCAAAGCTGTGAAAAAGCTGTTGTGACCACGGATCCAAATGTGGCACAGTCCCACGCGCTATTTTCGAGTTGTTGTTTGTTTTTTTTGTTTTTAAACCACAGAAGTTGCGCTTTTGGGCAAGATTAGTGGATTGTTTGTGCAGCCAGATGGAAACCGTACTGCCACATAAACATATCGCTCATATTCACAACCCCATATGAAGCCGGATAGCAAATCAAACAAATCAAATCAGACGGCTCTTTAGGATTAATTATTAGCACAAGTCGCTGCTTTTCAACGTGTTGTTTGGACCACCCATCCTTCTTTAGTGACTTATTTCATAATGACCAACGTTTTGCTGGGTCATTTCATGTAGTTGCAGCGTCCTTCACGCTCCGTAGGTGCTCTTATTCTCACTTTGACTTTGCTTTAAAAAGCATCCACTGGGAGCCATAAAGCCCGCTGTGTGTACCAGTAAACCAATGATTGACCTACTGTACTGGGAGGGTTTTGACGAGTATGTGACATTTCCAATCAGTATCCTTCAATACCTTCATTTGAAACGCAATCATTTTGAAACTAAAGGAACGGTGATTTTTGGCATCAATCTTCACGTCCTCACATAGTACTACACACTGTGTTGCGCCTCAGCAAAGCGCCGTGGCTGTTTCCATAGCGTAACCCGGGCTATTTTTAGGAGGCAGGGTGTCTGAATAAGAGATGAAAGCTGGGGTTTTGATCAGCAAGTCTCTGTCGACGTGGACCAAAGAGTCGGAGGAGGCAGAGCCCTTTTGTTGCGTTGACATCGATTGCCTGCCGGCTCTCATTAAAAAGACTTTTGACACTTTGGAAATATCAGAATACCAGCTGTATGTTGGAGTTTGCATGTGAAGCCTCATTTAAAGTTCCCAAATTTGTGAGGAAGCCACGTGAGATGGTCTTTTTGTGCGTGTGTTTTTGTAACTTTTTGCTGTCCGTAATAAATGTTTGAATAATCTTGCAGCTCCTCTGAGGAAGAGATCTGTCTTCTTTCAGTCCACTCGCAGCACAACGTGTTCCCTCATTCGTCTTTGCGGCGCGCCGCTGTGCAGGCGGCTGCCCGTGTGACTGGAGCGCTGTCATAAGATTTATACTGGTGCACAGGAAAGGGAAATGGTGAGAAGCAAAGGTGCTGTTGTGAGCGATTCTCACCGTAGCTTCGCGCCGCATGATGCATGATGCTACACGAATGAGTAATTTCTCAGTAATCGTGTTCAGTCTGGGGAGCGGCGGGTTTGGTTATGCGCTCCACATTGTGGCACGTCAATAGCATCAATGTCTCCTTTCTTTCTCTTTCCAAACGTCTCTTGTCGGTAAATAGAAGTTTGAATTAAACGACGCCTTGGTTGCCTTAGTGACTCCTTTTCCTCGTCCCCAGTGATCCCTATTTCCCCCCTGCTCCTCCCTCCATCATTTTCTCCGCATGGTTTCTAAATACGCTCATCCGCCACGGGCTGATTCTGTGTTCATTACACTTTAGTTTAGCACAGCTCAGTTGGTAAATTATCCATCTTTTGGGGAAAGATTCCGTAGACTTGGCCTCTCCTTTATCCTTTATTTGACTTTATTTACATGACGGTTGTTATACTTACTTACATACTACAGGTCTTTCACTGCTCCATGTTTCTTGCCCCCTTTCACTGATGACGGCGCTTTATGCGGCGGGTATTACGGTGAGTGTTCGTTTAATCGGCATCAGCATGCCTGCGTAATCTACCCACGGCCTTTGACACTGTGCTGACAGCGACACGGCGCTAAGAATAGAGACTTGGGCAACAATGCCGCGGTAATCTAACCGCGCTCAATGGCTCGTGAAAGTCCGGCAATCGCATGACCGCCGAGTCGCCGTCACGGCCACGGAAAAGTCCGACCCCGGCCTCAGCTGCAAAAGCAAAGCCTCACCGTGGTAGGTCCATCTGTCCGAGGCGACGTGCGCGAGGCGGCTAGACCGTCAGGGTCCCTCCCTGCTGTGCACTCTTTCTCTTCCATATTTTTACACCGCACAGGTGCAACAACACGCTCTCCAGCTGGAGGCCGACTAATCTCAAAAACATCCACACGCAAAGACCAAGGTGGCATGAAAGAACACTCTCTCTCACTAAATCCCTCATGCCTCATCTGCTCACGCCGGTCGTGCCCAGCGATGCCAGAGAGCCACCCGAGGCTGGTAGAGAGTGTGAAACTGTAACAGGAAACGTTGTCCAGCCGTAATTAATGCATGGTGTTTCCCCACCTCCGTACTCAGCCTGCGGGTCAGAGTGTGTGTGTGTGTGTGAATATTACAATATGCAGGTATGTCAAGCAGTAAATCATTAACTTATTGGAAGATCTGTTTCTTCACTGAGTGCAATAAAGAAAGCGAATCACCTTTCATTAGCTGGGATTTTAAAAGGTTTTATTCCAACAAGAATAGAGAATCTGTGCAGTGAAGTGACCCGATCTCTTGAGCCTTTTTAGCTCGTACCTTTTAAACAGTCCAATTGCCTGATGTCAAATATTTGCTTATGAAACTGCTGGCGGGATCCCAAAGGAGCCCTTGATGTTTGACTGGCTATCTCCACTTCACTGATAGCAATGTTTGCATTCACGCTGTTATCTATTGTGCCTAGAAAGGGGTAGAAAATGAAAACATCTGCCTATCAAAGCTTCCTCTTCTCCTGGTTCAAGCCATTTATCGGACCACTATGTGGTTATTGCTGGGACGAATAATTAAAAGGCTGATCACCAAATACCCTTTTCAATAAACCGTTCAATGGAGAAATCAATCTCCATGCAACTTTTAGAAGTAGCTTAGCCGTCTCAGTCAGGCTTCTCTCAGGACCGTGGTATCTGTTCTGCATCCATATCTGGTTTTTGATCGTTGCATTAAGGTCAGTGTGCAGACTTACTTATGCTGAAGGACTGTTCTGCATTTGTTTTCTAGCCAAATCATCAACTGCCTCACCAGAAGATGTACCTGTCCATAACCAGAGTTTTGATTTTGTAGTATATAGTATGACACTTCTTGTAAACGCAGTCATTGAAACTTAGTTTGGACATATTGTATTTAGGCTCTTTAAAAGTATTTTTAAAAGACTTTGAGGTGGAAGATATTGTTTTTTTTGTATCTCTTAAGCTGCTCGGCTGAAGCTTTAAAACCCTCTCCCAGAAAGCTCCTTTTGTCTTGGCCTTCCAGTGTCTTCGTCATATCGCCCTTCTACTAAATCTCTTGGATAAACTGTGAGAGAAGTTCCTTTCTCACTTCTGCCATTTAAGAAAAGGCCTTTTCGTCCTTCCACTCGCTCCAGGCTAGATTACTGCACGGTCGAGTTCCCCTCTGAGGAGGCAATGCTTGTTCAGCTCCCGAAACAGTTACACACCAGGGCTGTCAAAATTGCTCGAAGGGACGTTCGAATATTCGCTTAAAAAAGAATATATTTGAATATCTCGTTGCGCATTAGGCACGTCAATAACAGGACAAATGTATACAACGAGACATAACTACTTGTATTGGTAATTTATTTAAGTTTAAACATGTTTAAGAACATATTACCTGCACAAAAATAAGTAAATGAACTAACGACACACCCATGCTCGCTCTCTCTCTCTCTCTCTCTCTCTCTCTCTCGCACCGTCGCTCTCGGCGCAAAGCGGTTTAAAATGAACAATAAACAAATGCTGAGTGCTGATCGAGAGTTTTGTGCAAGCAATGTAAGGTCGTGATTCTTGTCCCACATACATGAGGCTGCATTCGGTGATTGAAACTGAAAGTTTTACAGTACCGACATTGAACGCTCCGAGCGAGCTGTGCTGTAAAGACGGAACTTTTCCTTTGCATGAAACGGCAAATAATCAAACCAGTGCATGAAGCTGTTGTAGCCGATGTATTTACTTCATGCAATAAACAGTCAGTAGTCAGGTGCTATTGTTTTTAACGACTATTCGAATACATATCTGAATGTAGTAATATTCGTAGACAGCCCTATTTACACACCAGCCACATCTTCTACATGTATGTAGGCGACCCAACTTCATGTTAGCTGAATTCATTCATATTTGTTTTAAGCCGTACATGTATTGTTTCTTTGCACAACAACAGGAAATACACCATGATACATTATCAATGTTTGTCTTTACTACTTTTAATATGTGATAATGGAAAAGGTATCTGAACTCTGTTGACGTTTTATTCTCCGGCTTTAGTTGATTTATTTGATAACAGTTTGGAAATGGTATTTTTGGGTGTAGCAAGTTGTACCCGTATGATGTACAATATTTCTGTGCTTCTTTGTATCTCCGTTCCAACTGCCATGTTTCTCACTTCCTCTAAAAGTAGGCTAGTAGGAGAACACATATGTGGGTGTTCGCACCTCACCTTTGACTGCTTCCTTTGTGAAGTCTTGCCCGAATTCATATTATATTTCGTATGTTAGCGGACAGGCACTTTCCTGGCCCGCGCTCGGCGATACTCATCAGACTCATCAGCACGTTGCCTTTCAGTCAAGGTCGAACGTTCGCCAAGAGGTTGCTCTTGTTTGTTTCTTCAGTTTTTATCAGATGCCCTTACTGTGCTGTGCTCTTATCGTTTTTGTGGATGCCCCCTTGACCCAAAAAAACAGCGATTGTGTTCGGCGGCGGTGATATTTCCAGGTTGTCTGTTATCTCCGGTCTGGTTTGCAGAATTTAGACCGGATGTTGAAAGGTCTGAAAGTGTTGGGGATTGAGGAACTCTGGTGCACGGTGGTGAGAAGGCGCTGTGAGTTAAGTAGATCAGAACATGGTCATGTGAGCATGAGAGCATGAGATTGTCTGTGCTGCTTGTTTCCTGTGATGGTTCTCATGCCATCTGGCTGTGCATGTTGCTCTACACTATCACTGCTTTTTGTTTGTGTGCTCGTGTGCGTGTGTGGCTGCATCACTTGGTCATCGTCACCCTCAGCCTTGCCTCGTACCCTGCAGTCCTATCACCTCCCTCTAACCTGTAGGCATCACCTGCGTGGACACCCTCCCCCCAATGGGCGCACAACCTCGGCGCCAACGCCATCTTCGCGATCTTCGCCTGCTGCCGGGACTGTAAAATGAGCACAAAGTGAGAGCAGACCACCTCCCGGCCTGTGCCCAACATTAGCACCAATATTCAAGGGCTGACAGTTGGTGCCTTACTGCCGTTGCGTCCCTCACGCCACGGCATTGGCAGCTCTGGACAGTAGCGGTGGCCAATGAGATGTGTGTGTAACTTGACCTGCCTGTCCCCGGGGACGTCCAGCAGAGGAGTTGCGTTACACCCGCTGTCAGACCTTATACATCTTTCATCCGCTGCTCTCCCGAACAGAAGCCCCCTTTGTCATCTAATCCAGCCCTCTCCTTCCCGGCCCGAGAGTTTACTGCCACGAAAACGGCTCTTCAGTCCGCCAGCCAGCCGCTGAGCCGATACGCGTCTGGCGGCAGCTGAGGAGCAGCAGAAGGACTCGGCCCGGCCCCCGGATATCTGCTAGTGGGATTTCTCAGCCAGTCTTTTCCATCCACTGGCTGGCACGTGGAGAGGGATTTAAAATAAACTACCAGAGCTGAGGGAGGGGGGGGGCGGCGAATTGAATTTTGCCTCATCTCTTCAGCGGGAAACCTCAACTTTCCAAAAGCCTGTCAAGCTGCAGAAATACAGCCTTTGCGGTTCTTGTGAAGGGCATTTCGGTGTCAGCTAGTCGGGACCATGGGCGACACCCTCAGGCCGCCATCGCTTCAGGTGAGCGTCCCGAAGGACGCTCCGTCGTATTCGGATGGAGGGCGCAACGCCGCGTCGGACGGCTGCGTGGGATCCAGCTCCTCAACCCCGACGCTGAGGCGCAAGCGCTTCAAGATGCGGCGCATGAGGAACGTGCCCAGCGAGAGGGACGCGGAGGCGGCGCGGCTGACCGTCGGGCGCCTCAAGGCCCGTTCGGGCTCCAAGGAGTACCTGCAGCTGCCCTCCATCGAGATCACGCCGTCCAGCGACGAGGACGCTCTCTCCTCCTGGTCCAGCTGCTCCACGCCCAGCGCCTCGCCGCGCCGCAAGCGCTTCCTGCTGAGGAAGTGGCTGAAGGTCCGGCAGAAAAAGGAGCAAGGCAGTGAGAGCAGGTTGGTGTGGGCCCCTCCCTACTCGCCTCTCCCCCTTCTCCCCCAAAAAACCTCCACGCTGCTCCAGGGCTGCGTGCTGCATGCACTTATGTTTGGTGTCGCTGACTGCAGGAGGGTTAAGTTGTCATGTCAACGGGGGTACTTTGAAGGAGACAATTTTCTATATATATATATATATAATATGCATGTGGCTTTAATACAAGAGGGTTACCAGGTTGCTTTTCTTATATTTAACTGAAACAAAACATAACTTTAAAAAAAAAAATGTGTAGCTACATAAAGAAAAAAAGTGCCACCCGTCCTGTGTTCTTGTCTATAAAGGGATTAAAGTAATCCTGGGTGTTACCTCTGTTAACAGGGATCAGCGGGGATCTTGCAGTGGCGTGCTTAGGCCGGCATCTTCTCTTACTCAGTGATGTTTTAACATGTTTTTCCTGTCTCGGCTGTTTTGTGTTAAGTGGAGTGTGACCACGGTAACGTGGGTCTAGGTTACACTTAGAAGAAACGTTAACCCGGCACATTTTTGAGCTTCTAGAATCACAATTAATGGCAAAGGTCGTTTCACTCCGGGAAAGATTCAGCAGACCTCTGCCCCGGGGACACCACAGCCAACAGGTGCCATCTTCTTAAGAGCATCAATACACCCAGCAGACAGTGTGTGTGTGTGTGTGTCTTTGAAATAAGTCCCTCAGGTGATGGTTCATCTAATACTTAAAGGTTTGGCCTGACTGCAGTACTAGAGGAAAGGTCAAGGGATTAACAAAATCAAAAGGTCTCTTTCTACTCGATACATAGTAGAAAGAGACCTGAGAGACAGAATATGATGTTGGCACTGAAGAAAAGTGTTTCAGAAAGTATATTGGGTCCTTTTCAGAGTAACTTGGGGTAAAGATGTTAAACTGTAATGGGCACTCCAGGAGCGCTGTTAAAGAGGGAAAATTAGTTTTTGAATATATGCTCTTAAAAAGACATTAAACGGAGGTAGACTAAATGTGTTGGCAATAATTAGTGCAACAAAATTACATGTTAAATTTACGAACTTACAATTTCACTGTACGGAATAAAATATAAGGCTACGGGCTTGGGGGATGTAGAGAAGACAATTTAAAAATAATGCCGACGGGAAGAACCTGCGGCGGGAGGTCTTTGTCCTGATGGACCTCAGCCTGCTGCCAGAAAGAAGGGGCACAAACAAGTTTTGTCCGGGGTGAGCGGGGTCAGCTACGATCTTTTTAGCTCGCTTCAGAGACCTGGAAGCGAACAAGTCCTGCAGGGACGGCAGATTGCAGCCGATCACCCTCTCTGCAGAGCGGATGACACGCTGATGATCACCAGACGGTGATGGAGGAGCAGAGGATGGACTCGATGAAGTGCACCATCATCGTCTTTGGCTGGTTGAATTTCTTCAGCTGCCTCAGGAAGAGCAACCTCTGCTGAGCCTTCTTGGTGATGGAGCTGATGTTCAGCTTGAGGTCCACGGCGATGATGGAGCCCAGAAAGCAGAAGAAATCCACAGGGTGATGGTGGGACTGCGTTCTTCCTAAAATCTACAACCATCTCCACTGTCTTCAGAGCGTTGAGCTCCAGGTTATTTGGGCTGCACTACGCCACCAGATGGTCAGATTCCCACCTGTGGGCGGACTCCTCCCCACCAGAGATCAGTCCAAAGTCCAATTTTAGCGGAACTGAACACTGCCTCCTCTTCAGGATGAGTACATAACCTTTTTCAGCATCACCGAGTGCAAAACACTGTCGTTATCCGGCGCGACACAGAGAAGTAAGCGGGTCTAACAAGCGTTCCTCATCTGAGCACCACGCTGCTCCTCCTCAGCCTGCTGCTTGTGACTAGCTGCATGTGTGAAAACACGCACAGGCTCAAAGCGAAGTGTGGGAGTGACCATAAATAATCCCGATCCCGATGGTAATCTTGGCGTTATCATTTAATATGGGTTTTGTCACGTTGAGCTGCGAGCACCCGTTGTGCTTCATTTGTTGCTTTTGACTTGTGTGAACTTTATTTTGAGGATCTCATGTCGACTTTTGGGGAATAGCTTTTGTCCAGGTGAGTAGCCGTTCACCTCGGATGTTGAGGTTGAGATTCTTGTGCTTGACGCGAGATGCACCTGCAGCAATGCGAGTTTATTTGTGTTCCCCCTCTGGGGCGATTTAAAGCGCTCGACGTGGTACTAAATATGCTGAACCATGTGAAATAGAAAAAACAAGAGGCAGCACAATTTGTTTCAAAGAAACAGTGTGCAACATTTAGCGGTATTCATGGCAGAAATGAGATATTGCGGCTTCATAAATCAGAATAAAATCTTTTTATGTCTACGTAGGAGGAATCGGCCACTGCTGCCTTGTTTACACATCAGAACAGCTGTCTCTAGCTCACTCTATATATGATATATATTATATATCAACTTCACTCAGGAATGATATCAATTAAACTGTTTTATTGTTGTTTTACGTACTAATGACTTTATATAGTTTCTCTGCAGTTGTTTATCTAAGAACATGATTTAGTTATATCTAAATTAAAGATAATTTAAAAGACTTAATCATATGTGTTTTTCAAAGATAGTATTTAGTCATGACAAAGATTAATTGATGGGTAAAAGTAGCTCCTTTTTATAATATATATAATATATATATATAATTTATAGTAAAATCCCAAAGATACTTGTCTCTACCTGGGAGGCGGGGGCAACATCTCCACTAGATGTACACTAATACCAGAGAGCGTCGGAGGCCTTAAAAATCCCCTGCGTGACACCCAGGAAGCCAGAGTGGAGATGTTGAAGACGTGTCCCACTTGGCTCTACAGCCAAATTAGGCCCCCAAGGAACCAGTTTGCACAGCGAAAAAGCCCATTGTCAACGAGTCTACGTGATCATTTTTGAGCATGGAAATAATGTTGATATTAATGAGACATTTCCAGAGGGTTTCTGTTTGGTAGAATCCCTGTGTTTCTGCAGTGTTCACATACAAATAAATAGAGCCATGGAAGGAGCCCTGCTTTCTTTCTTTACACAGCCAACTGATCACGGTGTGAAGGAAAGTGGGCCGATATGCTAGTGCAGGTATCAGGAAGGATAAATGGTGTTGATAACATCTCTTCTGACACGGATGGAACTAACACTAGAATACATATTTTTCTTGCAAATTTTGTTCTTCGTATCGCTCACGGATTCCCGGGACTTTGACTCTTGATCCCCAAATGTCATGACTTACCGAGTTCGAGAGCCAGCGCGGCGGTGCATTTAATCAGACGTTTATTGTGTCGGGAAAATTCCGACCGATGCTAACGTGGTGTCCTGCTCACAGAAGCATTCTAATTTTGTGTTGACTGTTAGCTATGCAGTAATTATGAGACATTCTGCTTTACTCCACTGAGATGAAGCCCTGTGCTGTTTCTGCCCCCCCGGATTGTTTTGAATTGGTAAAGCTTTAGTGTCAAGGGGGAGTGTGAGCCGGAGGATGTATCCTTGTCTCCTGCACTGATACCTGCCGGCTGATTTCGAGTAGGTGGTGTACGGCCGTTCGTCCGGCTGCACTGCTTCCGGCAATTCAATTTTTCAGACGCACAACTGCTCTCGGAGCAGCTTAGGAAAGCAGTCAACTGGACGAGAAACCGTTATCCAAACGAAGTAACGTAGGTCCACCAGTGCCTCGGGGTTTCTCGGCCCCTTCGATGACGCTATTCTGTTGAATAGCTCATTAGTTTCCTGTTTTTCAGCCATTTAACTTCCTGGTTAAACTGAATGAAACAACATGTAATGTAATGTTAATGATGTCACATAAAAAATAAAAATTGCATGAACATAACTTAACAATGTTACTGCTTCTCAAACTAAAGACACTCTTGCCACTCCCAACACATTAACAATGTCCAGATGATGCTTTAAGATGTCTGTCTGTATTCCCAAACAATGCGATTTGTGAAGTGAGTTTATTGCGTTTTGTGCGTCCGTGCAGCTCTGGGTTAAAATTCTCTATATTTCGTTTTTCCTCATTCAGTTGTGTTTGAGTTAGGCCTGGGGGCGCTATGGCCAAAAATCCATATCACGGTATTTGGAAAGCTTTTGACGGTATCCCGGTATGTGACGGTCCTGCTTTTTCAAGTAAACACATTAATTCATTGACCTCGAAAGGGGTCGCAGACTTCCCGAATAGCCGTTCGCTGGTTGTTAGCGTGTTCGCTCGTTAGCGTGTTAGCTTAGTGTGTTGCGGCTGCTAGCGTTGCCACCAGAGGCAATACCAGTTTTCTGAGCTAACTTACGTTGGATTTTTTAAAAACCAAAACCCTCCAAACAGACACAGCTCCTCTCATGTGCACAAGTTGTGTTGGTGCATCTCTGGTCTCTCGTTGTTCCTCCTGCATCGCTCTTTTCCGTGTTTTCATGTAGCAACAGTTACTACTTGTTGTGAGCTGTACCCAGCATGCAGTTCGTGGGGTCATTTGTATAAAGGTACAATTATTAGAGATACACATTGCTTGTGTCTCAAGCTGTTGTTGACATGTTTGTAGTGGGTTTTTCACTGCAACACACGTAAGACAAGTAGCTGCGACCGCTGAGCTCCTCTACGACGTCTAAAAACAGATTCTGCCGCTCGCCGTATAGCTACGCCAGTTGTTTCGTGGAAAATTTATACCGTGCGGAAATGTCATACCGGTATACCGCCCAGGCCTAGTTTGAGTAATGAGCCCTTCATTTGAGGCGCATGTCGTATCAACTTGGTCCTCTTTGTTTTCAAGACAACATGCACCAAAGGACGAGAATGCACTCAGCAACAAAGTGGGAGGCACGACGCGCCTCCTGCGCAAGAGACCCAAGCTGGGAATACAGAATACAAATTAAATCAACATTATACTTTACAGCATGACATACTTTTTTAAAGCTGACTTTGATTTGAAGACTCACTACTTTATTAAGTAAATTGGGTCACACAGCTTGATGATGATAGTGGCTTCTATAATGATTGGAAAACTATTTGCAGGGTTGCAAATAAAGTATATCAAAACCATCGTAACCCTCAAAATGAGCTTTTTATTCCTTTCCCACCGCGTGTAGAGCGTTGCTTCTGCAGAGATGAAGTGTGAATTAATTAGGACTTTTCCCAACAGACTGGCTTTATTCTTAAATGTCAGTGTGGATTCTTAAAATAGGGAAATGATCTCTCTCTTTATTCATCTTAAACGTTGACCTTTTCGAAAATGAAATGTGAAAGTAAATCTATAACAAATACCTTCACCTGAACTGCTTTGGCAGTCTGATCTCCAAACTGCTGGTGCTTTTGTATGTGTTAATGATTCTCTCTGTAAATATATTACTTTACAAGTCTGCAGTATTTCTAAGTGCGGATTTATCTTTTTATAGCCCGTGTCATATAGCTCCCTCTAGTGTTATTCCTGGATATGTACATGAATGGTAGAGGACTCTTATCCAAACCGAACACGTTGCCATATTGACAGTTACCATGTAATATATATTAATATGAAAGTGATGCTTCATTTCCAGAATATTGCATATCTGATGTTAGTTAGTGTTTAGAGCTTGTAACAATGATTAACAAGTTTATGAAATAAAGCTTATTAATGGCATGTGTTTTTTTTTTCTTCCTGTTTTGTCGCCTTGTTTTTCTGGTTTGCCGAGTCCAATTGTGTCTTTGCAGTTTACACAGGAACTAATTCACTGATTTCTTCCGCTGTAATGATTGACAGCCACACTTTTTGTGTCATGTGCCGTGCAGCAGCCAGCAGAGCAGCCAGCAGAGCAGCCATGAAGACGACGGCGCTCGCTTCTTGACTCCTCTAATCCGAGAGGAGAGGTGAGCAACGTTTGTGTCGTCTCTCTCTGGGCCTGGTTATTAAAAGAGATTTTCCCCTTTGTTTTAACTGTTACTGAAATCAAAATCAAATAGGTTCGATCCAGGAACCGTTTGACCATGTTCATTCGATCGAACCTATTCCCTGACCTTTGGTCACGTCACTCTACGTGTCGCATGCATTCTCCACTAGGGGGCGTGTTCTTCATTCCCGTACACTGATACCTAACTAGCTGATGAGAATTTTCTAAACCCATAGTGGGTGAATGAACAGTGGTTTTTCCAGGAATCGGCCTGTATTCTAGTCCTTTCCCTGTAACTCAGTTATGGTTGGCGGGCGGACAGCATCATTAGCTCTTTGTCATGTTGGACGCTGCCCGTCACAGGAGCCTTAAATATGTTATAAATACAGTATGAAGTGAAAAGTGCATTGCACACAGGGAGGGGCCTTAGTTTCTAGCTGTCGTGCGACCCGTTTTTCCGCGTTAACTGTGTATTTTTGATTTCTTAATCCTTTGGCTTCCTTGTCTTGCAAGATGCTCGTTGTCAGGTACCAGGTGTCACAATAAAATTAGTCCCTGAGCCCACCGGCCTTCTGATGATTATTAAGCTTTCCATCTGTTCAGCATTAGCTCCTAAACTGGCTTCTTGTGACACTGTTTATAAAAGCCAGCCGCTTGTCCTGAGAGAGACGGACGGACTGCCCGGTGGAGTAGCTGCTGCCGCTGGTTATGTCATCGTGGATGTTGATGCTGCAGGAAACCCTCCCGGTGTGTGACTGGTGAATAGAGAACATGTGCAGGAACCCTCCTCGTCTAGCCTCGTAATAACCGCCCACCTTGCTGCCTTGAGCTCTGTAGTACCGATCACTACACCATCTCTCTCACTCTCACTCTCTCTCTCTCTCTCTCTCTCTGGCTCTCCCTCCCGCGGACTTTTCTTTTTTTTCTTTTCGATTTTCCTCGCTCAGTGTCTCCCCTCGCTCGGTTTTAGGAACAGCACCTGCCCGCCCTATGGGACTTCCCGCCGCTCTTGTCGTCGGCGTGCTGCTGAGAGTTAGTGACGGGCGTCTGCAGCGGCTGCAGGGAGAGCGGCGTTCTGTGGCCGGCTCTAGAGGGCACGGAATGTCATGTCTCCTCTGCAGGTAACAGCAGCTGCGTCTCCGCCTGGAGGCTGCACTGCTGCGCCCCCCCCCCCCCCCCCAGCTTCTTCTCGCGGGCGCTCTTTTGTCCGTCGCTCCTCGCCGCGGGTCTCACTGCGTCTCTTTCTGTGGGTCTCTGTGTGCTGCAGTTGTGCGACGAGCTGCTGCCGGCTCCACTGATGCTGCTTCTTCCCGGTTATCATGTGATCCGAAAGGGTTTTTGAGTGTGGGGGCGGACAGGGGGGCAAGGGGGGGGTGACATGAGGGCAAGTATTGCATCTGATGTGTGACTAGAGCTGCAGATGGTTTATGGGATATGAGAGTGTGTCTTTGCAGTCAGTGACAGTTCACAAGACAGTGAAATATGACTCATCGGCAGAGATGACGCAGCACACAATTGAGAGTTGTGAATGAGGGTTTACACACACACACACACACACACACACACACACAGACGTGCCATTGCTGCGTAGTTTATTCCTATCTAACGAGTGTGGGGGGACACTTTACCGTTCAGAACGTATGGGCAAGTTTATTTGTAATGTACAAGGTAATACAATGTGCTTTACATAAGAGGCGTTACAATATTATGGCAATGTAGAGAGATAATAGCAGAAAGCATAGATTTCGTGATAGTTTGATGAAAAAGATAAATTATACACTGAATAATACCAGAGCGGTGCTCACTGTGGGTAAGGCGTGATTTCAAAGAACTGAGAGTTGGAGCAAATGGCAGGTTTTCTCCGTCCATCCATGTTATGGATTGGCAGCTCAGTCATTTTACGCGTCATTTCCCGCTTAGTGCGTTTCAGCCATCGCCTGAGATCTCAATGCGAGGATTTTACCACAAGTCGTGAGAACTGTATTAAAGCACTTCTTTTGTTGTTTTGCTTCTCTATTGAAGTAAAACCATCCACAAGGACTGTCCACAACCTGGGCTATGACTTAGGTGCGCTATTAGCCTGCTATCATGTTTTATTGGGCTGATGTTAGTGATTTTTTTTTCCAGACTATTCTCAAAATCCAAAGTGGTTTTTTTTTGCTACATTAATTTATTTCTTCACCAGTTTAACATATAAACTGCTTTTTACACATCAGAACACTTACAGGAGTTCCCCTTTATCCTAACAGAAAAAAAATTTGTCCAGATCGAAAGTAGTTAGAGTTATTACACTTTAATCATGGCCGAGTCCATCATTATACCAAGACTTCGGATTTGGTTTGAGGTCTTTAGCATCAATGACTGACCACAGAATTAGTTTTAGTTAGCATTTCTGATGTTAAATGTCATTTATGTAATCATCATAAAGAATTGTAGTCTCCTGATATAATATATATGTGTATGTCATCTGCATAGTGACGTGTTTGGTGTTCTATGCTTTTATTAAGATCAAGACCTAATCGCAATACCAAATTAATCTTACACTGCTACTTTGTCAATGACTTCAATTTGATCTTTTAACCATATATGGATTATGAACAGTAAATTAGGATTAGGATGGATTATGAACAGTAAATTAGTAAACTAATTAATGCATGATAACACATACATATAATTTGTGTTATTGAGAATGTGTGTACTGAAGTCTGAATTATTCACGGGTAGATTTAAAAATCAGTATTCGTGATTACAACTGGATCATTTTCATGAACATACAATAACTATTTATGAACCAATAATGTTGGTAATGACTGCTCCATAGGAGGTGGGGTTGTAATAAACACCTCCGAATATCCATTTTAAATTATTCGCTAAACAGTATATTATGTGTAAAAACCATTTATTCATTGTTTAATAATGAGTGTGTGTGTATATTTATATAAAGTCAATGCCCATTCAAAGTGGGAATGTGAAAACTCCATCACTGAGTTCTCTCTCCTCCTCCTCCTCCTCCTCCGCAGGTCGGACAGTGCAGCGGACAAAATCAGGTGAGCCGGGCCTTTGGCTCCTCTTCCTCTTCCTTTTCGGAGCGGGAGCATGAGGTAGCGCGCACAAAACGCTGTCACCCCACTCGCCCCGGCCCGCCCACCCCGCATGTGACACAGATTGGCGGCTTTGTTCCACCCGACCAAGGTGTCTGAATGCGCTTTGCCTTTGGAGGGGCCTGCGCTCAATACAGTTGCAAGCCACGGAATGCCTTTGTCTGCTTTGATTGGACAAACACCACCACACACAAACTGGCCTGTGTGAGCTGGACACCATTGTGGAGCTTTGTTTTTCCGTCTTTTAGCTAGCAGCCTGTGGCAGGTCAGCACTGTGGAGACACACACACACACACACAGTATCCTTCAGGGTGTGAAGGCTTTGCTGCCTTCGCTGTGGCAGTCCTGAAGCGCGGGGGTTGGATGCACAAGCTGAAGAGGTGAGTGATCGGGGATGATGTCTTTGGTCTTGTGGTGCACCACAGGAGATGTGTTGGAGGTTTTTTTTTTATAAATAGCTGGTCTTCCACGCCTAACGTGGTGCAGGAGATGGGGAGTTAGTGTCACAGTTGATTATTCTGAATCTACAAATATTTCGGCCATCTATTCGGGTTTTTGGTTTCAAATAAACAATATATTCTAAACTGTGACTAGACGGTAGACATTGTCTATACTTCTCCTTTGTGACTGGTACAGCACATTGTCAGATTTTAAAAGATATACAACTCCCTCTCTGTATCTTATAGTGCGTTACGTAAGAGACATTTTTGGTTGTATTCATCAGGTCATAACTGTGGAAGTTTATTTTTTTTGTGTGTGGGGTAAATCATGCATGCAGTGCAGGCGGGAGAAGTGGTGCTCATGTGGAACATTTTCTGAGCTGATTGGGTAATGTTATTTTGGTGCGTGCGTGCGTGCGCTCTGGTGTGTGTGTGTGTGTGTGTGTGTGTCTGGTTTGCTGTGCTTTGAGTGGTCAGTCATGCGAGACGGGTGACTAGCGGGCCGGTTTGAACCACTTGGAGTCTCTGCACTGCACACAAGCAAGAGGTGGTTTATTAAACATAGTTTGTGTTTGTGTTGTTGTGCACATCATCTTTTGAGTCAGGTGCTTTGCACTGGAAATGGAAATTGAGGGAGAAGGAAATATTTAAACTCAGTTTTTTCCACTATTTAGTTAACTGCTGACTAAAAAAAGGCTTTTACGGGGGTTTAAAAAGCCAGCTTCAATACAACAGTCGTGTCTTTCCAGAAAGATGGGAGGCATCTTGTGTCCAACACCTTAAACGTTTAAAATGATTGATATTTGCATATTCATAGCTTATGGATATTTCAATTAGGGCAGAAGAGTAGATATCATTTCAGGACTTTATTACAAGTTCAATTCACTTTTCTCGTCTGAAGTTATCAAACGTATTACACATAGCACTTTTTAGGATTATGTAAGCTACAAATTGAGTTATATGGATGAAACACATCAATGCTGCTGTTTATATTGATCTTTTTTTACCAAACCTTTTTAAAAATGTCCATTTCATGGTTGAACACGGCACCTGCTGTTTCAAATCAGTCCTAAACTTGCAAGGCCAGCCTGGACTAATCTAAAATAACGTTGGATCTGCTGATATGTGCCATATGAATTCTAGTCTCTTATTCTAAATTTTATAATACGTGAATACACCGACTCCTGAATCTACAAGCCAGGTAGTTTGAAATCTGCTCCTGCATCCCGTGCAACCCCCACTAGAGGTTCTTAAGTGGCCATGAGTCACACAAACTTCTAAAGATCAATACTTAGTTTCTTATAACTCCATCTTTAAATAATGCATGCAAAAAGCCCTTTTGGCTGAACAAAGTGTTCGGGCTGGATGTGCATTTGGAAAGAGGGAATGTTTTTAAAAGTAAAGTTGGAGTCCGTTGTTGCCGCTGACGGAGTGAGCGGCTGCTTAATCACACCTCGAGACAGCGGCCCGTCTCGACCTCCCGACGTCTCTCTGAGATTCTCCCCGGCAGCGTTTGTGTCTCTGCGCTTTTGTTCTGATGTCCGCATCGCTCTTCCGTTGTCTCGATTGCCGGATTATCGATCATCGTCTGTGGTTCGAGACGCTGGCTCCCAGTGATGGAGGTCAGCATAATCGGATCTTCCCCTTTACTTCCTCCGAAAGGCGAGGATCCAACGTATTGAGAAAATGATACTCGCGAACGGACGAGTGGAACAGCTCTGTGGTCCCAGGATGACTTTCCAAATAGGAAAGGATAAATCCGTACAGTCTGTGATTCTTAAAAGATATCAAGTTATTATCCAAGACCGAAACTTTACTAGCATCATCTTCATAATTGTATAATCTAGCATACTTCATGTATTTGTTTTTCTTTACTTTTACTGCTAATCTCTTCACTAAATAGTCGTCATTATTTTCTCCTTATTGCCGTTACATGGACACATGTGCAGCATTTTTCCTTTTTTCACGATTTGATTTTTTTTTTTTATCTGATTTCTCTTTGCAATCCTCCCAAATGCTGCCACATGGTTTCACACCTGTCAAGCTTCTGCTGCACACGAGATCCCATCAGTACAACCAACCGGGTATTACCATCCACGAGGATGTGTTATTTTTACGGCGAATTTGGGTCACAGGCGTTTGCGGGGCCCGTTATGTCTGCAAGGTGCGTCCATGACGTACTTCTACATTCCTTCTCCACATTCATGCGTGCGTTCGTGTCGCCGCTTGTGCTCCTCCACAAAGACGTCGCGACGCTTCGGTTCGGGGGCCGCGTGTGCATGCGTGCACAGACGAGGAGGAGGAGGAGGAGGGACAGAGAAAGTGAGGGGGAGCAAAGCAGCGGAGGGAGGCTGATGGAGCAGGGAGAGGAGGAAAGGAGCCGAAGGACCACCCTTATCGAGCAGAGCCGCTCGCACGGAGCCTACCAGAGGGACCTTCCCACACACACACCATGGCCCGCCGGCCAATCAGAGCGCTCGCATCCCCTGACCCGTCCTCCCTCGTACAACTGCTCATCCATGGCTCGGCGAGGCAGATGTGAGGGGATGCGGTAGGAAGCGAAGCTGGCAGCCACCTGGAGGGAACATAGACGGTCACTGTGTCTTTTGTTTTTTGATAAACAGGGAGGAAAGACGGGGGAGGGTGGGAGGGGGTTTAGGGTGGGGAATCGTGGACAAGGAGGAGAACACGCGCTCCGACGTGTGGGGAGGAGGGCAGCGGCGTTGGTCGGTCTGGACACCCTGCGGCTTCCCAACAGGCTTTCTGGCTTAACAAGTGTTTTCTGCACCACCTCTTTTTTGCAACTTTCAGCTTCTGAGCCGGGGACTCTACTTTGTCTCCGATTTGGTTCTGGATGTGCCGCATAAGAGCGGAGGACGCGGGGGGATTTTACGAGGCTCGGCGGTGATGACAAAGCATGCCGGACAAATGAGAATCTGACAAGGAATCGGCGGGACAGAGGTTGAAGAGGGGCCATGAGAGGCAGGAGAGAGGCCAGGATGGTGTCTGCCTGTTCACCATGCACAAACATAAGGTCAGGTGGGATTTCTGTTTCCCTCCTTTAGCCGGGACGCTTCCTTATGCTGTGCCGTTTGGGTTTTCGGCACAATAGCGAGCGCGCCTAATGGATGAGATGCATGACGCGTGTGTGTGTGTGTGTGTGTGTGTGTGTGTGTGTGATATGAATGTCATTCATGGCAAACTGTGTGTATGCCATGAATGACATTCTGAAAAGAAAATAGTATTACAATAACATTTGTTGATATTTACTTTGAGATATCAAATAAAAGACAGATGGCAAAGATTAAAATACAAGTCTTAAACATTGAAATTACATATCTTGAGTTACGAGACAAGTAGTTCATCTCATTTTTCCATTGATAAGAGACCCCCACCCTGGTTGATATATTCACCTAGAATCCGTCTGTGATAACCTACTAAATTAAGGGCCAATGCAGTTTCTGCTGCCCGGATCACATGACTTAAACTACCCTGCTATTGTTCTGCAGCTGTACCCTTTTCTGTTTGACCTTTGATGCCAAGATTCTCTCTCTCTCTCTCTGTCTCTCTCTCGGCCCAAGCAGACCTCTGAATGTCAAGTACATTAGTCAGACTCGCTTAAGAAATTCAACATGCCTTTTAAAACATGACAATAATGTAAAAGGTGGATGTTTGGCCGTGTAATACATTCATGTTCCATATGTTTATTCTAGTAGGTATGACGAGTCTAGCGTTTGTTTGCAGAGTAGCTCTGCAAATTCACTGTTGGAAATATTCTCTGACAGGTTTTAATTTCTTTAGATATTCATTAAAAACAGAGAAATGTGTCAAACCCGGGCATCAACGCTAGCCAGATGAAAGCAGGGCGTGATGGACGAAATCACCATATGCCAGTGTTCCCCGAAAATATACACCGCACGCTTCCAGGCCTCCTAAATCTCCGCTCTGATCTCTGCCCGCGAGGTCCATTAGGGGCAATTTGGTCAGATTTACCGATGGGGATGCAGGGCAGTCGTAGCGCTTTAGGTTATCACTCTGTGATGAATACTCCTGGCAGGCACCTCCACGTTACACTCGCACAACTACCTCCACGCACCTCTCATGGAGATATAACGAATGGCAGTCGTTAAGGAGCGAAGGAAGGGCTGGCAGCTCAAGTACACTTTAATTCATTCATTTCTGTTATGAGAAAAGAAATGGCTAATTTTCTTCTGGATAAAAAGAAGAGATTGTTGGCTTAAGAGTCCGTGTGAGATTGAATCTATAAAACGGGCCCAGCATTTTTTAAATGGTGTCATGTCATCATAATCTTTCTGCCTTGTCAATTCTAGATCATTTAAACCCAAAAGGAAATTACTTTAACTGGGCTTTTATATCATGGCTCTAAAATATGAGGTGTGTGGGTACAAGACGTGGCCTAATTTAAGGTATTTACCCTTAACGGCACTGTTGAAGTGATTAAACATTGTTTGGAAGAACCATAAGTGGAAGTTACTTATGATACTT